CCCCGGATCCCGCCCCCCCGCCTAAAACAGGAGGGGACACGCCCTGAAGGAGGAAAAATCTTGATATTCTAATGATAAAGTGTCCAAAATCTGATTGCTTTTAGATGCAACTTTTTAACAATTCCACACAGTGGGAGGGTACCCGCCCTGGGCGCTTCGGTGGCCCTTGACAGCTCGCCAGATTCGCCCCCCCCCGCCTATGAATTTTCTTACTGAATGCCGCGCACTGGTATGTGTGTGTGTGTGGGGGTGGGGGGGTTAGTGATAATTAAAACACTTTGGATCCAATAATAAAATTACCCTAGAATCACAAAATTGCACTTACAATATCAATTTTTTCAATTACCGGTCAAAAAACGGCATCTTGAAAGGTTTAAATTGCTAAAATCCAGAGCTTCCGGGGGGTCCGCCCCTGACCCCGTGAGGGCTCTGCCCCTGCACCTGCCAGGGCCTGTGCGGGCCCCTGGACCGCGCACCGCCTTAAGGGCTTTGCGCACAAGGCGCTCGCCGTGTGGGCGCCTACTCGCGCACACTTCTTCAACCGCACACAACGAAAAATCATTCCCCCACAAACTGCGGACCTGTCTACCGCCACTGACGCCCCGGCCGTCCCGCCGCGTGTCGCGTCGACCTATCCCCCGCGTGGCTTTGGCCATACTGCCGTCTTTCCAACGTTGTTTAGTGCGGAGAAAGTAATGTGACTGAGCAACAGTACTTTATTGGCCCGTGAGTAACGATATATAGGCTAGTCGTGAACATTTAACCGTCCAGTTTGTCGAGAGTTTTTTCCGCTCAAGGAACGAGAATGCCTTCCTGGCTCCTTCCTTGCATCTCTAAAGACGTGAGCCACACGCATGCGTTCGGGCCCACAACCGTCCTTAAGGAACTCAACTCCAGGCCCTGTCGATTGATACAATCTTAATAATATTACCAAATGATCTGAAGTGCTATCAGTCGCGCATTATGCAGGTCACCGCATGCGTCGCCCACCCTCCTTAGGATCAACTCGGCAAGGCCCTGTCATTTATTATAATTGCTGATATTGGTTATTACTGTGATGGGCATAGGTCGAGCATGGTCCGATTAAAATTGGTGTGGTCAATGTGAAGATCTGAGCGTAGCATACACGAACCGCGGGAACAGTATAAACGGCGCGCATATTAGTGCATTTTGTGAAGCTTGGTGAGACAATGTGTTAGCCCCATGATGCTGTGAGCGTTGGCGACAATGATGTTAGCCCATCGGTGCTTGTGAAACTACCAGGTGCCGAGAAAATAGAAGGAATACATGTTTTCGTGGTGGTAACCATGGCGGCCATAATGACGTAGGCAATTCATAATCACAAACATTTGGGCGATTGTACGCGTATAAAGGGTGTACAGCGCTACGAGCAATCAATACGATTGCAACAAGGATAGGAACACTGATAGAGGACACGTAAAATCGCTTCACTTGATCGAACCATAGGAAACCCAGCGTACGGTAGTAATAATAGTTAGAGTCGATCGCTCACATTATTTTTTCGATTTGGTGTATGAGGCGTTTACCTTCTTGCCTGTTTTCTCGCGGCTTCAGCCAAATGGTCGGTTTCACACAGTCCAAAAGGGCATACATTTTCCCGAAAGATATCTGAGTAATTGATAAAGTTATTGAATATCATTGCGGATTAGAAAATGACTCTAAGATGAAGCAAGCTCTCTCCTTTCGTGTGCGTGTGTGTGTGTGCGCGCGTGGCGTGGCGTGGGTGGGCGTGCGGTGCGTACGTGCCATGCGTGCGTGGGTGCGTGCGTGGGTGGCGTGTGTGGGTGCGGTTGCGCGTACGGTGCGTGGGTGCGTGGGTTGCGTGGGGCGGTGGGTGCGTGGTGCAGTGCGTGTGTGGCAGCGCGGTCAGCGTGCGTGCGTGCAGTGCGTGCGTGCGTGTGTGCGTGTGTGGGTGGCATGGTGCGTACGTGCGTGGGTGCCGGGTGCGTGCGTGGGTGCGTGCGTGTGTGTGCGTACGTGGCGTGGCGTGCACGCGTCCGTGTGCGCGCCTGGAACCTGTGTTTACGTCTGAAGCGTGCGTGTGTGCGTGGCGCAGGTAGTGCGTGCGTGTTCGGTGTGTGCACGTGCAACACGTCTATGCGTGTATTCGATGATAGATATGGATTTTACATTACACTTACTTACAGTGGTTGTGAGCTACGATAAAATAACGCCATAAATCCAATTATATGGTAGCATTCAAAAATTTAAAAATAAATTATATTGAAAGCTAAGAACGTGGCATTGAAGTATTGGTTTTATTCGAGGACAACAAAACGCCGTTCTGTCGTGATAATTAACACGCACGCCGTATAAGGGAATGGATGCATTCACAGTGGCCGGATACACGCGTAGCGATGGAAGTCGCGCATTGTCTGAGGCTTTGCCTTAGCCAGGTAGAAGTACGAATGCCGTGAGCTCAATTTCAGGGCTAAACATGTCCGTAGGGTGGTTAGTGAAGGATATCTTGCCCATACAAGCGGTTCGCCTCGTTCATGGTATCTATAACTCGCTCCGGCAATAACGTTAAAGTGAGCCATCGCGCAATTTTTTGCAATCTCCCCCCTTTTTAAAGAAATTAATCTATAAAACCGTTAACCCCGCCATGCCCGGTTACATCTTGTTGTGTACAGTACGTTTTCCACGATAAAAAAAACAACTATGAAAATACAGTTGTAAAATTTTATGGGCAATACAATTGCGTTAGATAATCTTTTGTTACAGTGTGATAACGCGTAGGCAATAAATAGTAAAACATATCAAGCTTCATTAAAAACATTCTTTCTGTCATGTTTATACGGGTATAACACTCAAGCCATAGATTCATAAATAAATGTAATAATACTGATAATAAATAACGAAGAAGAGAAGTAGAATCTCACGCAGGGTCTCAAAGCCTACTCACCGTCAGAAAACTAACTCTCATGGCTCGGCGGGTGTTGCTTTCATCGTCGTCCGGTTTAAATCGCGTGAAACGCTCGTGCCAACCTCAACCATCTATCATCTACGTCGCGTTTGCAGCTGTTCTGTCCAGTCCTGGGCGATGCAGCCGTCCCCGCCACCTGGAGTGTCAACCCGACTCTACACGAGCACGCTTCCCATCACATAAATACAAAGTATGGCGTACACGTATTACATAAGCGCTATGTGCACGCGTGAAGGGAGAGGTGTGACGCTCTGCACCGCATCGCAGATGCACGATCAAACTCACCCCGCGTGTTGTAGCGGCAGGCCTGAACCGTCTGCTCGCCACACAGATGCTACATCACTACCCGACCCGGTGTGTAGGGGCGAGGTCTGGACCGCCTCCTGTCGCACGCCAAGAATGCCACGGATCACTACCCCGCGTGCGTGTAGCGGAGGCCTGACCGCGCTCAGTCGCACACAGGATGCACGAATCACTACCCCCGCTGCTGTAGCGGGAGCCTGACCGCGCCTCAGTCGCACACAGCAGGCCTACGCTCACTACCCGCTGTCGATGTGTAGCGGAGGCCTGGACCGTCTCTGCCGCACACAGAGCACGATCACTACCCCAGCGTGTGTAGCGGAGGCCTGGATCGTCTCTGCTGCACGCAGATGCACGAATGACTACGCCCGCGTGTGTAGCGGAGCCTGGACCGTCCTCTGCGCACACAGATGCACGATCACTACCTCGCGTGTGTAGGCGGAGGCCTGCTGGCTGGACGCCTCTGCCGCACACAGATGCACGATCACTATACCCCGCGTGTGTAGCGGAGGTTCTGGACGCCTCTAATAGGACGCAGATGCACTGCACTTCCACGTGTGGGTTCGCGCAAACTTATCACTCGAGCTCCAAAATTATCGATACACATTACGGTCATGTGAATAATATAGAGGCGATGAACTTTACTTAGATGTATAACAATAATCCTTATACAATCATACTGCATTCTATATAACATATATAACTATATACTCATATACAATCATACTGCATTCGATGTGTATGTTTACTGCTAGCATGCATTTTTTAGCATGTATGTTACAAATACATTAATATACACTAAAAACGTTATGCAATTACTACAATGTAGTAACATAATACATTGTATAATAACATACTGCATTACTAATAAGCTACAAATGCAAATAATAGATGCATATAAGATATAATGTTATCAATAATTAACGTACGTTCGGGATCAGTATCTCTTACGAATTCTGTATCAGCTACTAGTAATTTCCTCTGCTGTTTTCTCTAATCCGCACGAGATTTGTATCTTCATACAAACCAACATACTGCAAAAAAATTAATAAATGTTACTGCTATTGAATACTGGAAATTAAATATAATATTATAAAATTACAATTAATATATAATGTAATGAAAATATAAAAGGCAAAACTAATATGTAATGCTAATAAAACTGCTTTATTACCTGCCATGGTATTTACAAGTGCTGACGAGAATATTTCCTCATAAAGACATTAAAATTAAAGTTCAGTATTGATGCATAACGAGGTGAATTTTTTATACTAGCTAAAGTACGTGAGGACTTCACAGTTGACGTTTTTAATGCGTGCGATTTCCAAGTTATTCAAGATAATATAATCTCTACTACGACCAATGTGAAGTCCAATATATAATAACAGGGGAAATAATAACAAATTATTCTTAATTTGTTATTATTTACTCTTGATAATAACTATGCGAGGCGGTGGCAAATATAGATGATCGCAATGTTGGCACATCGTTACATGGCATCAATAAGCACATAATCGCAACACCAAGCGCACAATAAGGACCATTCCCCCCCCCCCTGTTATCTACGCCCCTGCCGGGCGCTGTGAAAATTCGTGGTTCGCATTTTTCGACACTCTAGATGTGTGAGAAAATGTATCAGTGGAATTGACTCAGCAACTTACTGTTTTATTGAATAGGACCATGCAGGCCATGTGGATTCGGCGTATTGATTTAATTTTGTGAAACTTGGGCTGTGTTTACGTTTTCAGACAGCGAGCATGTTGGCGTGCCATAACTTCTGGCATTGGGCCGTTTATCACATCGAAAGGGTATGTCGCCTTGTTCTAGACTATAACCGCCATATTATATTAGTTCTATTTCAGAAAAAAAGGAAAAAATGTTTGCTTTCCCCGTAAATATGTAATCGACTACCTTTGAAATAGACGAGCCGCCTGTTCGCTATAAGGATTAGTCAAAATGTTGAGGTGAGTATTTTAGCTGATATAGACAAAATATATTCGATAATTCTTGCCCGATAGAAACATTTCTATAATCGCCGCAGATACAAAACTCGGACCGTACGTGTACTGGCTGAGGAGAACCGATTAGATTAACACTAACAATAGTTTAATATTAATTTTTGTATGCAATATTATGCGTCCGCAACTAACGTATTAGTCTACTAGTCACCCCTATGTGTTCTTCATTGAACCTAGAAATGTCGAGTACTATAAGGTTTTATGTTGGAAATGCAATTAATATACAGGTCATAAGGACTCAGAAACTGCCGGATGCTAACTTGCATATGTGTAGCATTTTGCATAATCGGCCTAAGTAGCATATTAATTAGGTCAAATCACTAAATCAAGAATATCTTCCTTAGTAATCCACATAGCGACTTCATTCGTGTGTCTAGACCCATGTTTTCGACACTAAGCAATTGATCTGACATGGATTCAAACCCCTACCATCCTTCCGACTGCCAGAAATCCAATATGGCTGCCATGCATAATGAGGTAACTGTAAAATCACCATAACTCAGCTCCTCTATAACCTATAATCTAAGCTACATTTGCATCCTCATCCTCATATAACTTAAGCATTAGCTGTATTTAAATATATGTAGTTTTGTAGTCCTGTCCCCGTTCATTCCTTGTGTTCGTTATAGATATTGATTCCGCGTATACTTCGGCGTATGAAAGTGAAACAAAAATTCTAGGAATAGCAGAATCGAAATCGGTATTCGGCAGCTACGGGGCGCCATGCAGGACAGGCATTTTTGT